CATCTGTCAAAATTTTAAAAAAGTTAATTCATCATATTTTAGTATTTCTATAATTTTACGTAGAATTTAAAAATGCAATAATATTTATATCGATTACTTTTTCCGTTAAGTTCTAGTCAGGTGAATTACCATATATTTAATATTTATTTAAAAAAAACTATATAAGTATATATATTTTTTAGTAAACTTATATAAAAATAAAGTGAGTTTATACGCATGGTCGCTAGGGGACGTTGTTCACTTCATAAGCAGCAACACTGCGTTGCTGCTTATGAAGTGAACAAGCAACAATTTAAGTATTTGTTACGTATATGGAACTATTGAAGAAACTTTAAAGTGTTTTGCGACAGTTGCCGGTCTCTCTATATATATATAATAATATATATAATATAATATATATAATATATAATATAATATAATAATATAATATAATATAATATATATATAATATATATTACTCTTTTATTACTAAGTTACGACTAAAGTGGGGAACAATTATTGAGTTCCAAAAAGGTAGCAAATATGTCACTAGCTATAAACCCTGCTACTATTTGGAACGTAGCTGCTACGTTACTAGAACGTTCCAATATCGTTGCTAGAGCGTTATAATTACTTTTATTTATTTGTTTTTACTTCTATATTAACTGTCTTTGTCAAACTTATATTAGATTATACTATCCCTCCTTTTTTTAAGTGGAACCACTACGGACTTGGCTTTTCAATGTCGTCGTTTATTAAATATGTACTGGTAGTTTATAACTTTCAGAATAACAATATACTGTTTAATTAGGCAGGTAAATTTATAAACCCTTTAAATTTTACTGTTGAACTTTTGAATATAGTTTTTGTAAAATAAATGCGCTTCATCAATATTTAAGTATAAACAAATTATTTATTTAGTAAAGTTTATAAATAAAAAAATCTTAATATTTATTATTAATTTTTTTATTTAATTATTATTACCGTCTATTACCAACAAAATTACTATTTATTAAAAAGTAAACAACCATTTACAAACAATTAAAATAATTTATTATTTACATTACCACGTGGTACTGTACAGTAAAAAATGGCCGATAAGAAGCATTTTCCTTTGAAGTAGTTTTCGCTACTTTAAAGTTTTTTCCACTTTACGGTTGTTTTGGTTAGTACCATAAACGTTCCAAATACTAAAATAATAACTTTTAAGTTATTAACTTTGCAGTTTTTAACTCATGTTCCAGTTTCGAGATTTTAACTTGCAAAGGGACTACAAAGTAAAAATAATTTTAATGTAATATTTAGGTAGCAACCGAAAGTAACTGCTACAAATTAAATTTACTTGAAAGTTTTTTTTACTTATAACACCTTTTTTAAAGTTGCAAAGTCTTCTTGGGGGCAACCAAGTTTTACTTAAATGTTTATTACTTTATAGTAGGTAGGTAACCATTTAAGGAAAAATTAAGTTTCTGTTACAAAATATTGCTATTTAATAGTTAGAATTACTTTTAAGTAAAAATTAAAGTAGCTGTTTAGTATACTTAACTTATTTAAAGTTATCACCACTTTGGCAATGGTTTTTGGAACCAAAAATGCTGCTTGGGTGATGCCAGATTAGGAAATTATTTCTCATTTATGGGGATTAAATATTAAATATTGCATGGCAAATAAATAAGTATAAAAATTACGTAAATTTTCGATGCAATTTGTTTCAGAATAGTTCGGGCAATAATTCACAATATAATCCAATACAAAAAAAGCACCTAGGCACACATACAGCCCAGGGAGGAGCCCGCAGCTTTTAACAAAAGCGCAGACCCACTCTGATCGGGCATGCATTATTTCCTAATAAAATCCTATTTATCCAACAATATAACACTATTTTTAAAACAGGTTGTCTAACGCTCAGTGCGTCATCTATCCAAAAAAATCCAAAACAATATATCTAAAGTTAGACCCAAAGATAATACATATTATACATATACATATTATCTTTGGTTAGACCCAGTCACGGTGTCTCCCATACCTACGATTGTGGGGTCGGCCCAAATTAAATAGATGGCGCAGCTCACTAAAATTTCCATATAGGTACCTACTGAGGGGTAAACCTAAGAAACAGCGTTGCCGTTGCCGGGTATTTTACCCAAAATTCGGGTATTTTGGAGTATGTGCCGGGTAAAATAATTAAACGGGTAAAACCGGGGATTTTAACCCTTTGACCCAAATTTTCCAAAAATAAAAATTGTAGAACCAACAGCAAAAAATAAAACTTTAAAATTAAAATTCAACCATTCGACCTACGCTATTTCTGCGAAAATGAAAATGTCAAAGTTCATTTTGACCATTTTGTTGACTGGGTTTATACAGTTACCTAATAGATGGCGCTATACGTCCTTATTTTATATTGCGCATGTCCTTGACGTTAATTTGACAGTCAACGGGTATTTTATTTATAACAGAAACAGTCTGAACACCTACAGAATCGCCGCATTATTACACACAAAAGAGGGGGTCCAAGAGGCAGGAGGTCCTGTCAGATTTGAACCATCAAACAAAATGTTAAATTCTAATTTACGGAAAAAATAAAGTAGGTACTTAATCCCTGAGAGGAGGTTCATCTACTATTTATTAATAAAGTAAGCATATCTATGTATTAATAAAGTTCCTACCTAATAGTATTAGGCTAATACCTACCTATTTCGGACGGGTAATTTTATGGGGATTTTCATGTTAAAGTGGGGGTAAAAGCGGGTATTCTGGGACGTTCTTATGGACCTCCTACTCCTCAAATTTATATGGAGTCAAAGCTCCTGAATATAATTTCTTTAATCTTCTTAGCAGCGTTGCCTCACTGAAATTATCAATTACCCACGCCACTATGACAGAATTTTTGTCATAGTGGCGTGGGTAATTGATAATTTCAGTGCGGCAACGCTGCTAAGAAGATTAAAGAAATTATATTCAGGAGCTTTGACTCCATATAAATTTGAGGAGTAGGAGGTCCATAAGAACGTCCCACGTGTACGATGACCGAGAACGCAAAATTGAGTTCTGCGCATCTCCCCTCCTACCTTTGACAGAGATAAAGAAGGTATTTAATCTATATTTACATTTACCAGTCGTAAATAAGATTGAAATATAATTAATTATATATAATAATATATTATAATAACGTTTTCTTTGTAGTAAACAGAACAGTTTGTTAAAACTGTGAATAAATTTATGAACTAATCAATATTACGCGCGAAAAAATTTGAATATAAACTAAAGTTTTACACCTAGAAAATAATAAAAATGAATATTTGTCAATACCAAAATGACAATGTCAACTTGATCGGGTAGTAAAATAATAGTTATAAGATTGTTTAAATGTTTTACTTACATTATTTTGTTATAATCATACATCGAATAACTTAAAATAATCCGTTACTTTCACAGCAAAAGTTAGAAATACAATAAAACATTCTACTTTTCATTAGTAAATTTGTCCAGGTCACTAAAAATTGCATTTTTTTTTAATAAACTACAAAACAGATTGTCAATGGAACATCAACAACTGTACTTTACAATATCATCCAAAAAAATGTATGCTTAATTTTTTAATGGTAATTACAACTATAATAAATTTGCCAAATAAAAGAAATGTGGTCTCCAACGAAATCATTTTTTTTGTTGCCAAAAACAAGTAGGTATCTTTAATGAAATGCAATAATAATAACAATAATACATTTTTAATGGGTATAAAAAAACTGTACAACAAATATAAATTTATAAATATCCTTGAGGAAGTGATCAAGCCCAATTTAAACAAATAAAATTATTTTTACATTAAAACTTATTTGCCTTCATACATTTCAAGGAACATGATTAATAATAATAATTTCACAAATCCAAAAATTGTAGTGTTTATTTCATATTGTTTTATTAATTTTTTTGTTGAATATATTGTCTTGTTTTTTTATTCAAAATATACTTTTCTCTATTTTTTATGCTTAACCCTTAAGCAGGCACGCGGGGTGTACAAAACACCCCAGCTTCCTAAATATACCTACCGGTCTCACTTCGTTTCGAATAAATGGCGCTTACTTTCAGTACCTTCCTGTCAAAGTATTGTCAGTCATATTATATTGCCGATTTCGAAGTTAATGTAATAGGTTGTCTGATATTTTGTTTCAAACAGGCTCTGGGTGCTGTGGACACCCCGTGCGCCTTTCCACGTACAATTATTTTGCATTAATTTGTTAAGCTGATTTCTTCAACTTTTGTTATAACTTCACATTACCCTGTAAAAAAGTAATTGGAACGCACGACAAAATATTTATTTTTATCTTGAAAGCATTGCGTTATGTTTTGCTTGTTTCCGTTCGTTCTAATATTTTATGTAAACAACAAATAAAAATTTGCCAAAATTTCTCCGCCCAATAATTTTCAAATTATCAGTTGCCGGTAAAGAAGGGCATATGTGTAATTTGCCCAAGGCATGCCTTTTTGCAAAAAGTAAAAGGTGTGCCAAAAACATGTGCATAAAGCACAGGAAAAATTTTTGTAAAGCTTTGATTCCATAGTAAATTCTAGTATCGAAATTGAGTGACTTTGAGCAGGCTGGGTTTCGCCTCCCTATTGACTTTTCTTTACCAAATCATAATTACTTGTAAAAGTGAACCTTATCTTATGTGCTTAGTGTTTTTTTTTTGGTTTTTATTATTGTTATGACTTTTAAAATTTGTATTTTTTAAATAAATGCTTTATTTTATTAAAATTGTCGTCTTTCGACATTTTCTTTTTTTGTCATCTTTTATCAAATTTGAACGCAACGAAATCTTCTCATTGTCTCTAAGCTTATCTTAACTTGATAATTTTGAAAAAAAAAACACAAAAAAAATGTAAATAACACTCAGGGACGCTTTGCCATCAGGGGTGTATCTGACACCCCGCGCGACCTACTACGTTGCATAAAGAGGTGCGCCTGCATAAGGGTTAATTTGGTTTGAGTGATGGGTAGTAAAATAATAGTCAAAAGATTGTTTAAATGTTTTACTTACATTATTTTGTTATAATCGTACATTGAATAACTTAAAATAAACCTGGACTTTCACAGCGAAACTTAGAAATACAATAAAACATCCTACTTATCATTAGTAAATTTGTCCAGGCCACTACAAATTGCATTTTTTTAATAAACTACAAAACAGATCGTCGATGGAACATCAACAACTGTACTTTACAATATCATCCAAAAAAATTTATGATTAATTTTTTAATAGTAATTACAATTATAATAAATTTGCCAAATAAAAGAAATGTGGTCTCCAACGAAGTCGGTTTTTTTTGCCAAAAACAAGTATCTTTAATGAAATGCAATAATTTTGTATAAGGTTTATTTTTAATAGGTATCAAAAAAAAACTACAACAAATATAAATTTATAAATATCCTTGAGGAGTGAACAAGCCAAATTAAACTAAGTGTCAATTTACACAAATAAAATTATTTTTACATTGAAACTTATTTGCCTTCACACATTTTCAAGGAACATGAGTAATAATAATAATAATAATAATAATGTCACAAATCCAAATATTGTAGTTTTGTCTACACTATTTCCAGTCAAAAAAAACTGATACAGTTGAAAGTAACAAATCGACAATTTTCCTAATGAACACTTGGTATGCAAAAAGTTAAAATCCATATGAAACAATTCTAAAAACTAACACAACACAGACAATTACATACACTCGGACATTCTCTAAACTCACGTGTTTTTTTCTTTTCTCTTTAAATTCTCAGCCATTTCATGACCAATGGAAATCAATGTACAACAAAAAATATTTTTACTACAAAATCTTAAAATTATTAAAATAATCTCATGGAACAGAGCAGTCGAAAACGCCTTAGTTCGTAGACATAAATATGCAACCTTTTACGTTCCCTCTACAAATTTATTTTCGCATAAAATGAGATCCAGTTAAAAAATGTCTCAAAATGTTAATTAAGTTCCATTGGTAGGTTAAAGTTCCGAATGTTGAATAAAATTCAAATGTTGAGATTAAAATTGAGATCCTAAATTAATTTTATCATTTGCATAGAGAACAAAATCGTTGCATACATAACTGGCACTTAATATTTACAAAAATAAGTCTAATATTCTTACATACATATATTGGTGTAATTGCCTGAGCATTTACAATTATCTTGTTTAATAATCAGAATTTTAATATATACAAAATGTTTGTGTTATCCCGTTATAATGAAAAATTATTCGAGTTTCTTGCACAAAATTAAACATACTCAATATCAGCTAAACAAATATGTCACCTTAAAGTTAATTTTTGGCTGTAACAGGATAATTGAACACCTTGTATAATGTAAGTGGTTTTATATTAGCTTTATAAATGCCACTTAGTCATGACCGAAACGCGCAGGATGTCAAAAATAAATTAACTGTGGCCTGCCACATTTTTCGTCAAAAAGTTCAGCGCAGCAAAATTGAGTTTTTGGAAGTTTTTCTGACGCTTGAACTTGAGAAAAGAACCCGAAATTTAGGCCTTTGAATAAAGGCTTTAGTCGAAAATTGCTACGAAAATTTCACATCTCCAAAACAGTATATAAATATCACATATGTCAATAAGTTTGGTACGATTGTTAAAAATGTTTTTCAGAGTCGATGTTTCAAGGAACATGATTAATAATAATAATTTCACAAATCCAAAAATTGTAGTGTTTATTTCATATTGTTTTATTAATTTTTTTGTTGAGTATATTGTCTTTAATTCAAAATATCCTTTTCTAAATTTTTTTCATGCTTATTTTGCTTTGAGTGATGGGTAGTAAAATAATAGTCATAAGATTGTTTAAATGTTTTACTTACATTATTTTGTTATAATCGTACATCGAATAACTTAAAATAAACCTGGACTTTCACAGCGAAACTTAGAAATACAATAAAACATCCTACTTATCATTAGTAAATTTGTCCAGGCCACTACAAATTGCATTTTTTTAATAAACTACAAAACAGATCGTCGATGGAACATCAACAACTGTACTTTACAATATCATCCAAAAAAATTTATGATTAATTTTTTAATAGTAATTACAATTATAATAAATTTGCCAAATAAAAGAAATGTGGTCTCCAACGAAGTCGGTTTTTTTTGCCAAAAACAAGTATCTTTAATGAAATGCAATAATTTTGTATAAGGTTTATTTTTAATAGGTATCAAAAAAAAACTACAACAAATATAAATTTATAAATATCCTTGAGGAAGTGAACAAGCCAAATTAAACTAAGTGTCAATTTACACAAATAAAATTATTTTTACATTGAAACTTATTTGCCTTCACACATTTTCAAGGAACATGAGTAATAATAATAATAATAATAATAATGTCACAAATCCAAATATTGTAGTTTTGTCTACACTATTTCCAGTCAAAAAAAACTGATACAGTTGAAAGTAACAAATCGACAATTTTCCTAATGAACACTTGGTATGCAAAAAGTTAAAATCCATATGAAACAATTCTAAAAACTAACACAACACAGACAATTACATACACTCGGACATTCTCTAAACTCACGTGTTTTTTTCTTTTCTCTTTAAATTCTCAGCCATTTCATGACCAATGGAAATCAATGTACAACAAAAAATATTTTTACTACAAAATCTTAAAATTATTAAAATAATCTCATGGAACAGAGCAGTCGAAAACGCCTTAGTTCGTAGACATAAATATGCAACCTTTTACGTTCCCTCTACAAATTTATTTTCGCATAAAATGAGATCCAGTTAAAAAATGTCTCAAAATGTTAATTAAGTTCCATTGGTAGGTTAAAGTTCCGAATGTTGAATAAAATTCAAATGTTGAGATTAAAATTGAGATCCTAAATTAATTCTATCATTTGCATAGAGAACAAAATCGTTGCATACATAACTGGCACTTAATATTTACAAAAATAAGTCTAATATTCTTACATACATATATTGGTGTAATTGCCTGAGCATTTACAATTATCTTGTTTAATAATCAGAATTTTAATATATACAAAATGTTTATGTTATCCCATTATAATGAAAAATTATTCGAGTTTCTTGCACAAAATTAAACATACTCAATTTCAGCTAAACAAATATGTCACCTTAAAGTTAATTTTTGGCTGTAACAGGATAATTGAACACCTTGTATAATGTGAGTGGTTTTATATTAGCTTTATAAATGCCACTTAGTCATGACCGAAACGCGCAGGATGTCAAAAATAAATTAACTGTGGCCTGCCACATTTTTCGTCAAAAAGTTCAGCGCAGCAAAATTGAGTTTTTGGAAGTTTTTTTAACGCTTGAACTTGAGAAAAGAACCGGAAATTTAGGCCTTTGAATAAAGGCTTTAGTCGAAAATTGCTACGAAAATTTCACATCTCCAAAACAGTATATAAATATCACATATGTCAATAAGTTTGGTACGATTGTTAAAAATGTTTTTCAGAGTCGATGTTTTGCGGATGTGGACATTTCCGTGAAATTGCGTCTTATTGTGTTTCGGTTCTTGGAAGCGCGCGCACTGCCACGTTTCGGTATGATATGCAATATTAAAAAAAAAAGTAAAAACAACTAGATAACATTTTATATACAAATCTATATTACAAACATAGCATGTGATTAATACACTTCGTTCAAAAAAATCCATTTTCAATAAAAACTATTTTCTCATAAAGCTATAATCAGGAAGCTGTGCTGAAAGAGTATATGTTTCAGAAGACTGAGTTACACAACTATGTACACCTTATTTTTTTCATCTTTTATGGCATTTCTTCTCAAACAAAATCATATGAGGGACAGGGAGAAGCATGAATTGTCTCGAGATCAAAGTCTTGTAACTATGACGAGCACTTAACGAAGAGATTTACTCCATCACAGCACAATTCAAAAACTAGCAAGAAGACTTACCATAGTTATAATTTATAATTTTTTTTCGCACACACTTCTTCAGTTCCTTTCTGTTTAAACACACGAGTTAAATTATTTGGTTATGGGGTGTAAATCTAGACGACAGCAGACGCGTTTAATTTAAAAATATTAATAGTCAGTCTGGTTTGTTTTTTGTTGTTTATGCTGCACTAATCACAGTCCCAATGCTATTATCTGCGGTCTCTATACAAAAGGTAAGTCTGTAGCGCTTGCGGCAGCTGCAGGCTCATCACTTTTTCCTCGAGAAGCTGTTTGCCTAGACGTTGCCGTATCACGCGCCGGCACAGGTCCATCAAAGGCAGAGGTTCGGCTAAAAAAAAAAGAAAAATAGTAAACTTGGAAAAAATTGTTTTTGTTGAAGTTAAGGTTACAATTTTTTTTTAAATAATAAAAGAATTGTTGTATTTAAACTTCAAAATTAACGCATTAGTATAAAAATTTTAATTTTAAAACGCCTTTACCAATCTTTATCAAATTTTGTATGTGATCCGAGGGTTTTTCGAGAAAATATTTTTAAACCCCTTTTACTTAACCCTTAACTACTCGCGCCAATTTTTATAACATAAGTGGTCGCGTCGTGCTCCGCTCCTTAAAATGGCTATATTGCTGAATGTTTTAAATTTTAATATTACTTTTGGTTTTATTTGGATGAATAAACCCTATTTCTATTTAAACACAATATTTATTAAAGAAAACCAAAAGGCAAATAACAAAAAATAAAACAAACAAAAAATTATTACTTCTACTCAGAAAAGAAGAAATCAGAAGGCAATTTAGCAGTTCTTTTTTAATTAAACCATTATGTTTTAAATTCCATATTTTGTTGATTTAGAAAAATTTTACAATACAAAAATTGAAATTTAAGTATTTCTAAATCAATCTCAAGCTTTCTGTCCATAACTTTGAAATCAATAGTTAAAACTGAATATATAAATAATAAAAAAACGTTCGAAAAATAACTTTTAGGGAATATTTTTTTATGTAAATAAAAAATATGCTGTTAAAGACCGTATTTTTGTATGTATACCCTAAAAATGTTGTACAAATCAAACGAACAGTAACAAAGATACAGCGCTTCAAAGTCGGTAAAAATGACCCCTTTTTGATTATTTTGCTGAAAAGTCATTTTGAAGCGCAGTATTTTCGTTACTGTTCGTTTTATTTGTACAACAAAAATAGGGTCTTTCAAAGCATATTTTTTATTTACTTAAAAAAAATTCCCTATACAAGTTTTTTTTCGAGCATTTTTTATTATTAAATAAAAGGGCTTTAAGGATATTTTCTAGAAAAACCCGTAAACTATAAGTTAAAGTATTTTTATCCAAAATTTTATGAAGATTGGTAAAGGCGTTTTAGAGTTGGATTTTCTTACTTGGTTTTCGTTAATTTTGACGCGCAGTGTATATTTAAAAAAAAACAGCCAAAATAGATAGCATAATACAAAATTAAAAAAAACCGAATATTTTCTGTAAGCTTGTGACTGCACAAATGATTTTTAAATAATTGAAACTTGAATTTTTTTTTTAAATTTCGAAACCCAAGTTACATGATGTATGAAATATTTATAAATTAAATATTTGCCATATTAGGCCAGTAAAAGCGCATGTTGCCCCAAAACTTTTTTACCGGATGAAGTTTAATTTTTTTAATTGAAAAAGCATACAATGAATATTATATATTTTTGTTTTCGTATCGATCCAAATGTAAAAACTCATATTAATACATTAAATATTTGTTATATTAGGCCAGTTAAAGCGTATGTTGACCGAATACTTTTATCCCCGTTGAAATTTAATTTTTTTAATTAAAAAAACATACATTGTTTGGCGTATGCACTGTGGGCCCAATGCCCAAACTAGGTTGCATTAATTCAATTTTTTTTCTATTTACTTAAAACTTTAAAAATAATTAAACTTTGAGACTAAGCAATGCTGGTAATTAATTATATAATTTATTTTTTCATTTTCCAGTGTTGCCACATTAGTATTTTTGTAAATTAATTTATAAAATACAGGGTTATCTTACACTAGTGTAAAAAACCATACCAACGTTATCTACGGATCAAAATAAGTCGATTTAACCCAAATTACCTATATACTAAGTTGCTTCGTTTAGTCGTTAGAGGTCTTTAAAGTTTTGAAAAATAACTATTTTTTTTAATATCTTAGTAACGTATTAATGTATTTTTAATATTTTTGGAATATAAGTTTTAACTGCCAATTAACGTCGTTTGGTGCTACACTCAGTTATAATTAAAAATTAGAATAATCAGAAAAGCAAGGTTAGGTACTAATTTTCGCTTGTATTTTTTTTACTGTTGATATAATGGTTTTATTTACTTTATTTATTTATTTTATTTTATTTATTTTTTATTTACTAGGAAATAGAAAGCTTACTTTGTTTAAAAACTTACAAAAGTTCGATGAGCGGTTTAGTCAGAAAAAAATATTTTGTAATGTCTGCATACCTACTATCGATATATCGCGATAGTTACTATGTTTTATCCCGAAAATTGAACATTATAAATCTAGAGATTCCTTTTCTGAAAATAGGTCAATTTGACTCAACGCAGTTGCTTCGTTTAGCAGATAAAAAGTGAAATACAGAGTGTTGATAATAGGTAAATGGTGTATAAAGAGGAAGGTTTTCGCATATTTTTTCAGTCACTTCCGGTTTCACCGGAAATGGGTCCAGGTTCAAAAAATTAAATAGAAACCCCTTTATATATTTACATTCTCGGATTCTTAACATAATTCTGGACTTAAATGTGATTTTTTAATGCCTTTTGAGCAATTTTTAACAATGCATCTAGGCCACCTTAATGTAATATTAAAAACGGATAAAAAGAAAAAGTAGGCGTAAACCGGCGTAAACACTTTTAACAAATATTAAACGCCATGTATATAATTTGCTCATTGTCCAAGCAATACATGCGATAAACAACTTAAGATTCATATTAATTGTTAATATTTTCTTTTCTCAGAGGTTTACATTTTTGGCTGGGATAAGTTTCGCGATTTTTTGCGATTTTTTTGGTTAACAGTTTTTAGTAGTCTACATATTTGTCTAATAAAAAATATATATTTTGGCTTGGCATTCGTTGGCCTTCCTATTTTTTTACTCTGCAAAACTATAAAATTAAATATTCATGTTAATTACCTTATCAGTTCTTGCCAAAAACAAAAAAAAAACACGAATTTTCCATAATTTTATGTACCCAACACAACTAATTGACAGGTCTAATGTCAGTTATGAAATGTTTAAGGCGACTTTTGCTTTTCACGGCCCTCTAAGCTATAAAAAAAATCGCAAAAATCGTAGTTTTAATTAAAACGATTGCCTTAAAAATATACTTTCTTTTAAAGATCTGACATTGGGCATTTATAAAAAAGTCTTCGTAGAGTATTTTAAAAAGCAATTATGTTTTTACAAGTTTGAATATGTTTTTAATAAAACAATAGTGGCAAATTATACATTTTCAATAATGACTTATTGCAACCTAGTTTGGGCATAGGGCCCACAGTGGTATGGGTAGATAAGCGAATTGATCGATTGGGTATATACAAACTTAACTTTAATATATACTCATTTATACACAACCTATCTACGAACTTAGCGTGTAATTAGCCGGAGTCGGTTTATTCAAGACGGAGAATTAGGATGTAGTGATCGATGAAAGCCCAAAAAATAATAAAGTCTATTATATTTTCGGATTTAATTTATAAACACGAATTATTTATTTTGTAAAGGTAAAGGAGTAATAAACCCAGGGATGTTTGACAATGATGGGAAATTTGCTGTGTTGGAAGAAACGGCCCCGGGTACTAAAATATTTACAATATAATTAAGGGTTTAGTCCCCGCAATTAAATATTATATATTTTGGTTTTCGGATTGAGTATTCTAAGTCTTAAACGCCTTCACCAATCTTTATGAAATTTTGTATAAAAATACTTCAACTTATATCTCCGTTTACGTGTTCGAGGGTTTTTCGAGAAAATATTTTTAAAGCCCTTTTATTTAATAATAAAAAAAACGTTCGAAAAATAACTTTTAGGGAATTTTTTTAAAGGAAATAAAAATACACTGTTAAAGACCGTATTTTTGTTGGTATACCCTGAAAAGTCGGTAAAAATTACCCCTTTTTGATTATTTTGCTGAAAAGTGGTCATTTTTGACGACTTTGAAGCACTGTATTTTCGTTACTGTTCGTTTGATTTGTAAAACTTTTCAGGCCGTACTTACAAAAATACGGTCTTTCACAGCATATTTTTTATTTACTTAAAAAAAATTCCCTATAAAAGTTTTTTTTCGAGCGTTTTTTATTATTAAATAAAAAGGCTTTAAGGATATTTTGTCGAAAAAAATTTAACATTTTCCGTGGTGACAATTTTATTTATTTGATTCTAATCGAATTATGAAAAAATATATATAAAAATTTTGGAAATTTAAAAAAATATAATTTTAAACTTGTGAAATTTGTGCTCCATTTTTTTAAATTTATGCTACTGTGCAAATTTTGGGTAACGCCTAGTTTACCCCGTCCGCAAAGAAAATTCAGTAAAAAAAACAAAAAATCTGGATTTTTTTAACTTAAAAGAAAACGATTTTAAAATGCATAAAATTTCGGTACTCACGATCTAATCCTCCAATATATCGCATCGTGATCTCGCAATGTCCCCACACTGCGCTCACAATCGGGTACAATTTTCTTCCTTTCAATCCTCTAAAAGCCACGCCCAAATACTGGCCGTCCACCACGAAACTCAACGTGCCCTCGTCCATGTCCAACACGACCAAAAATTTGTCGGGCACTATAAACGTCTCGTCCGGCTTCAAAAGTGCTGGGTACGTCACTCCGGGACAATTTTTCGAATCGTGGTACAATTTGTTACGACCTAAAAGAGACGGTTGATGTTGGTAATGTTGTTGTTTCAAGTGGGAAAAAAATGAGTAATTTGTGGTTTTGTACGAGTGGTTTTGTCAGGTTTGAGTTGCAAGCAGATAAAAAATAAGAAAAAACGAGAAAATTAGGTTTTTGTTGGTTTGTAAGTTAAAGACAAAATTGTTCGCAAAAGTTAAATTTTGTTTAATTAAGATTCAATTTAATCAATTAGGTTCTATTTTTGGTAAATCAAGTTCAATTTTTATTACCAAGCTTAATCAAGCAATTAAAAATATAAAAATTATTTTTTTAAAAATGTTGATAAATTAAAATTTGATAAAGTTCAATTTTGGTTATTAATGCCCCCTCTCGATAAAACGTTTAAGTTACAAAATTGTAAATAAAGTTTAAGACACAAAAGTTCAATTTTGTTCAATTAAGATTAAATTTAATCAATTAGGTTCTATTTTTGGTAAATCAAGTGCAATTTTTTATTACGAAGCTTAATCAAACAATTAAAAAAAATAAAAATTTAATTTAAAAAAAAATTGGATAAACTAAAATTATATTTGATTCAATTTCAATTTAAAGTTATTTTTTAAAGTTACAAAATTGTAAATAAAGTTTAAGACACAAAAGTTCAATTTTGTTCAATTAAGATTAAATTTAATCAATTAGGTTCTATTTTTGGTAAATCAAGTTCAATTTTTTATTACGAAGCTTAATCAAACAATTAAAAAAAATAAAAATTAAATTTAAAAAAAAATTGGATAAACTAAAATTATATTTGATAAAGTTCAATTTAAAGTTATTTTTTAAAGTTACAAAATTGTAAATAAAGTTTATGACACAAAAGTTCAATTTTGTTCAATTAGGTTCTATTTTTGGTAAATCAAGTTCAATTTTTTATTACGAAGCTTAATCAAACAATTAAAAAAAAAAAAATTATATTTAAAAAAAATTGGATAAACTAAAATTTTATTTGATTCAATTTCAATTTAAAGTTACAAAATTGTAAATAAACTTTATGACACGAAAGTTCAATTTTGTTCAATTAGGTTCTATTTTTGGTAAATCAAGTTCAATTTTTTATTACGAAGCTTAATCAAACAATAAAAAAAATAAAAATTAATTTAAAAAAAAAAATTGGATAAACTAAAATTATATTTGATTCAATTTAAAGTTATTTTTTAAAATTACAAAATTGTAAATAAAGTTTAAGACACAAAAGTCCAATTTTGTTCAATTAAGATTAAATTTAATCAATTAGGTTCTATTTTTGGTAAATCAAGTTCAATATTTTATTACGAAGCTTAATCAAACAGTTTAAAAAAATAAAAATTAAATTTAAAAAAAATTGGATAAACTAAAATTATATTTGATAAAGTTCAATTTAAAGTTATTTTTTGAAGTTACAAAATTGTAAATAAAGACACAAAAGTCCAATTTTGTTCAATTAAGATTAAATTTAATCAATTAGGTTCTATTTTTGGTAAATCAAGTTCAATATTTTATTACCAAGCTTAATCAAACAGTTTAAAAAAATAAAAATTAAATTTAAAAAAAATTGGAGTATGAGTATGAGTATAAGAGACGTATAACCAGCCCCATTTCCTCTTGACTCTCGAACCCCGTACAGGCCTATGTTTACTTACGCCGATTTTTGTTCTTCCCCAGCAACTGCACGGCTTCACCCGTGTTTGCTGGGTGCGAATGTCCATTGCGTTACGTACTGTCCCCTATTTGGGGCTCGAGAGCGAGAGGCGAATAGTTATAATAGCCATTCCCGGGTTCGCCGAGCCTATGCTATACGCTCGGTGGGGTATGGATGAGGGACGGGAGGGAGTTGGTTTTTGGGGGACAATTACGCCGACTTAAAACTAAGTACGACGCGGAATCCCCCTAGACCAGTCGATTAGTATTACTCCAAACATTTGGGATTACTATTTGGAGTTGGGGAGTTGTTATTTCGCTGCAGGGGTGTAGTCTCCTAGTCGAGGTCTTTGACTTGTTCGTTATTGTCATTGTCCGTGTCCTGGTCAGATAGTTCCTGCCCTTGGTAAAGTGTGTCAGTTGTTTTTAATAATTTTTGTCCCAAGCACGTTTTGTGGTAGAGTTCCGTCTTTGTTTATCAAATTCCAAAGAATTGCTTTATTCACTAGTCAAATCACAAGCGCGATTATTCTGTTGTCTAATGTTTACGAATCTCGAGTTTGGCTATTAGGCCCTTTTTTTAATGTGTTAGAATTATGTGGTCAATGTTAGTTTACTCTGTCAGTCCAGTGTATATTTTCGGTCTCGGTTGGGACCGCCTTACGCATTTGCTGTTGACAGACTTATTGCCCCACACTGCGTGCCCTTCATAGGTTTTAAGATATCCCAATAAACACTTTAACGATACCTATCACCATTAACATTGCCCATGTAAGAATTTTTAACACTTTTTAATACAATTTTGCAATGATAGTAATTAAAAACAAAACAATTGTTTAAAGAGTAAAATATGATCTTAACATAATCATATTTTAAAGTTATTTTAACATTTCAAGTAAAATAATGTTATGTTTAATAAAATGAATACGGGCAATGTTAATGGTGACAAATACTTTTTTTTTCAAATTTAATTTAAAACTAGCTTAATACAAAATAAATAGCCGGCCCTGTGGTGCATCGCATTAAAATCTGAAACGGCCCCGGTATCCGGCGTGTAACGTATGCTTCAATAGATGGTTTATTTACGTTATGTTATTGCGTGGGCGCTTTGTTTATTTACCTTCCTTCAAGCTTTGCCTTGTTGCTGAGTTGCAAGTCGCGTATATTATACAATATATATAATACAATAATATAATATTGCGACGTTCCTGCTTGATTCCTTTTCGCACACTTATAAGCGTATACGCTGTTTTCGGCAATGGTTAATTGTTGCCAGTTTTTTTTACAGATTTGCGTATTAGGTCATGCAATAATACTTATCAGAGTCGGCTGGTGATGGTGATGGTGATGATCCCTTTCGTTGTTTTTTTCTTTAAATAGGTGATTCCTTGACCTGTCCCCTGTCACTTTATTACTTCGTGTCCGCACGAACCTCACTCCTATGTTCACCGTTGAGAGATTGCCTTTTGAGGAATTATTTAATGTTTCTATTAACCCCTCGGAGAACAGGTACCCTGATATCACCTGTACCGTTATGTATACATACTATAGTCATCCAAATAGTAGCACTGTTTCGCACCGTACTTTACTCGACTACACTGTATATAATAGTTATGTTTCTTTAAGAATTTTATTGTGGATCGGCACCGAGCGCTCGAACATCCGCTCGCTTCGCCGGTATCGACACAAATTAAATTTAAAAAAAATTGGATAAACTAAAATTATATTTCATAAAGTTCAATTTAAAGTTATTTTTTGAAGTTACAAAATTGTAAATAAAGACACAAAAGTCCAATTTTGTTCAATTAAGATTAAATTTAATCAATTAGGTTCTATTTTTGGTAAATCAAGTTCAATTTTTTATTACAAAGCTTAATCAAACAATTTAAAAAAATAAAAATTAAATTTAAAAAAAAATTGGATAAACTAAAATTATATTTGAAAAAGTTCAATTTTGTTCAATTAAGATTAAATTTAATCAATTAGGTTCTATTTTTGGTAAATCAAGTTCAATTTTTTATTACGAAGCTTAGTCAAGCTATTAAAAAAATTTTTTTTTTTTAAATTTTAATAAACTAAAATTTAAATTTAATAAAGTTCAATGTTGGTTATAAATGCTCCCTCTCGATAAAACGTTTATTTCTTTGAAAATGCATAAAATCTCAATCGCGAAAAAACCACATCGAGGTTGATCATGTACCTGTCGTACCTAAATCCCAACCCCACGACGTGTCGGTGCTGCCAACCAAACTTTGGTAGCCGACCGAGTGGAGGGGAGCTTCCGCTGTTGCCACGCCGACGACGGCGTGCGTGCCGCGTTGCCGCGTCGACCAGCACACCTCCCAACAGTGCAGGCCTTTGGTAAAGCCGACTTTTCCGCGTATGCAATCGGTGCTTTGCGCCACAGGGTGACGGTGAAATGTGAGTTTGTCGTCTTCTTTAACGAAAATGTTCAGCGATCTGTCGTCCTGGTTCCAGCTGTATTTTAGTTGCGTGTCTCTGACTGCCGGCGGCATATCCAGCAGCATGTCCAAGCGCTGTGGTCTCGCGAAATCCTAAAAAAAAAGGTTAATGTTCAAAAATTGTATAAATACTAATCCTTAATGCATTACCAAAAAATTTAAAGTTTTTAGCTTTTTTAATGTTATAATAAATATTTACCTAACAAGTGGGGAAAGTGCTAATTTTCGAGGGCGCAAAAGACACTATCCGCTCTTTTAGGTACAATATTATTTTCTACATATTGTTTACGTTATTAATTACCAATGTTTTCTACGAAGTCTTTTCTGCAGTGTAAATATTACTTGGGAGCAAAATTTCGTAAAGAATGTACAATTTAAACGCTTTTATCGTCTGAAAAGTGGTAAACGTTAATTTTATTATTTTAGGTGTACACAATTGAATTGAATTTTGTTTCCAAACGATTACTTTTTTTACCTTGTTTTTTTAATTACACAGGCCGACAAAAATAAAATTTCTGTTTGGTGCATGGCAACCAACAACTTTTTAAGGGTAATTTAGGTACGCTGAATCCAAAAATGAACATCATTTTGCTCCATCAGCTATTGTTTTTGCGATGTAGAATAAAAACCATTTTTTTCGATATGCGCACATTCAAATTCTTATATATATTTTTTTAAACTTCTAATTTAAGCAAGGATAGTTGGGAATGTTGCTATGGGTCTTTATTAAATTAAAAAAAATACCATATACATTGATAATGGTATTCGCTTTAAAACTCTTGCTTTCATCGAAAGAAAATCGATTTTTTAGCCAAAATTCGCATATTTTTAAAATTCAAAGTGATACAGCATGATCAATTTTTGCCCGATTTAAATAAAATTTACCCCATTTGTAGCTCTATTTATCTACTTTATAGTGTTAAAATTTCAATGCAATCAAAAATTGAATGAGAGTAGTGCTGCTGTGCTAAGCTAAACCCCAGTATCTGCAATATTACATAAAATATCATTTTTATTGTTAAAAACAATAAAAAGTATCTTTTGTCCTTAATTATTTAATATTGCAGATACGGGGGTTTACTTCAGCACGGCAGAGTGTATGTTAGTAGAGTATTGAGAGCAGCAGCAGATACTCTACTCATACTCTCCTACACTAAAACTAATGGAAAAAAAACAATAATATTTTTGACATCTTATTAGACATACCTACTTAAAATCAGGTCTAAAATCTTAGGCACAAAAATTGTCCACTTAAATAGCTATTCACGGAGTTTATTTAAGTGGTACACGTAGTACCCAATTTTGGTTGATTTTATTGTCATGTTGCCAATTTTTATTTGATTGCATTGAAATTTTATCACAATAAAGTAGATAAATAGAGCTACAAATAGGGTAAATTTTATTTAAATCGGGCAAAAATTGATCATGCTGTATCACTTTGAATTTTAAAATTTCCGATTTTCTTTCGATGAAAGCAGGATTTTTAAAGAGAATACAATTATCAATGTATATGGTATTTTTTTTCAGTTTAATCAAGACCCATAGCAACATTACCAACTATCCTTGCTTAAATTAGAAGTTAAAAAAAATATATTTAAGCATTTGAATGTGCGCATATAAAAAAAAATGGTTTTTTGTCTACATCGCAAAAACAAAAGCTGATTGAGCAAAATGATGGTCATTTTTGGATTCGGCGTACTCAAATTACCCTAAAAAAGTTGTTGTCTACCCTGCACCAAAATGGCCGTCGGCCAGTGTTATGTATACACGTTTCAGACAAAAATTATACAAATATTGTTTAAATTTCTCTTTATTAAACAAACAGTTGGTGATTCTTACTTCATTATTGTTATTGTTTAATTCCTTTGCTTTTCTGTACGCGATCTTCTTAGCTTTGACCCTTCGTTTAGGCATCGTGTAAATTTTGTACGAAATATTTAATAAAACCCGTAATAACCACTGTACACTTAAAATTGTAACAATATCACCAACACACATTAAATAAATTTTAATAATAAATAATTTACATAAATTTAGTACGGTTTAACCTTTGTTAACTCGTGGTTTAAACAAAAATGAAGGCAGCGAAATAACGTCCCAATTTTTTGTGAGATTTCTTTTCAACTACTATACTGACTGTACCATCAAATACTCTACTATCTTAATTATACAGTGCTCTTCAAAATTACTGCATTCCTTTGGCATGCTTACTTACAATTCTCATTTTTGCTCTTTTTGGTTGTTTTAGTGTTACAGTCAGCGTACTAGTGTAAGTTATTGTTTGCTCAATTTCCTCGACCTGCTGAATTTATAAAAAAAATTAATTATTAACATTATTAGTAAGTAATATATCAAACTATACCTATCAGCATTCAGCAGGTGCTAATATAAATTGTTGGGTAACAAATAAATTACTTGACATCAAGGTGTTTAACTTATTCTTAAAAAGTTATTTATTATAATTATGATTTATTGGCAATAAACAATGGTAACTGTTACAAGCATTGTAACATTTAAACCATCTGCCTGGTAATATTGGGATTTTATATTATTATTGGTGTTTGTGTTGTTTTTCTTAATTTATACAAATAAGATTGCATAAGTAAATGAGCAATAAAATTCAGCCTAATCATTAGGCCCTAATGTATGAAGTAAATTTTGAGACAAAAATATTTATTGGAATATTTAAGAAAAAATCAAATAATTCTATGAATATAAAACAAATAAACCTGTAAAAATTCTAAATTTAAATTGTTAAACGTCCAGAAAGGGATCAATAATCTAGTGAAATATGAAAACAACAATAAATTCATAAATAAACAACAAAACTGAATATACAGAAGGTTATTATGTAACATATTCCAAATTTCGCTTAAAAAATTAAATAATCTTCCTTCATATTTTTTTGCTATATAAAAGAAATGTTGAAAAATTGCAAAATCCACGTTACAATGTTTTTCTTGTTGTTTTTTTATAAAATGTGTTGTTTTTATATTCATTATGAGTGAGAAATCATAATAATTTTAAAAAAGTGTAGGGAAATATAATGATAATAAATATAAAAAATCAATCTAAATAACATTATGGGTTGGTAATTATCAATTTCTTAAGCCTCATTCAAAACCTTGTAATTAGTGGGAAAAAATAGTGGTTTCAATAATACTTATAATTAACACAAAACATTCACAATGCGCAAAATTAACATCTAAAATTAAGGGAATTTGCTAAAATATTGTCAATTCTTCTTAACCTGACATAAACAATATTAATTATATTGAAATAATATTTTTTACAACCTTTACAATATTATTTATATAACTTTACCTTCACTGGCAAATCTTCAAACTTTTTGCTTTTGACACATGCGCAAAGCCGCTTTCCAATTGTAATTAGTGGAAAAAGTTAAAAGTTTGCAAACTTTTTCTACTAATTGAAAAGTACTACCACTAATTTTTGGTTGCGAAGAACACTGTGTACATTCATAAGACAAACTTTTACGTTAATTGAAACCACTAATTTATTCCACTAATTACAAGGTTCTGAATGAGGCTTTACGTTTTCAGTTATAAAAATGCTGTAACTTCATTAAATATTGGTTGGATAACTTTTTTATGAGTCAGCCCTTTTTTCTCCCTACTTTTGGCGGATTTTTCGAAAAAATTAAAAAAAAACGATATTTTTCAAAAACATGCAGGTTACACAAAAAAACTTCAAAGCAATTTTGAATAGCGATACCGATTTGCAATATTGTAAAAGGTGGGTGAGCATTAGAAATTTAAAAAAATATATATTTTCACATGCATATTAAACGGTTAAACTTTAAATTTAAATGGTAAGTACTTAAAATTGATATTAAGAGCTCGAACTTGGTGAGATTTTTTTTTCTATATGCAGATTATATTTTGCTTGAGCACCGAAAAAAAAAACTCCGCGAAAATAAATCACCTAAGGTATATATATAATTTTAGGTATAAAAAATTAGTTCTTTTAATATATAACAGTAATAATATAATATATTATTAACTTAAATAAAAACAAAAATAAAAAGGTATTTGTTAATATAAAATTAATATAAAATGTCTTTCTTTTTTATTATGCCTATTTATGGATTTTTGGATTAATTACCCCATATTTAACTTAAAAATCGTAACATATTCGTATTAAATAATCGGAAATTACGATAATCGGCAAAACCAGAATAATTGCAGGGGAATCGAATCCGCAATCTTTACGTTGGATGATATAACTTGGATCACTATATCTTTATTTGATTAACAAAGAATTATGTACTTTTGCATAAAACATTTTTTATAAAGGGTTTTTGACGAAGTTTTCATTTGTCGTATATTATTACAATTTGATGGCGATACAAAAAAAAAAGAAATTACCTGTGCCAATTCCCTTGGTATGACTGGTTTGTATGGTGCGGCAGCATCCCGATTGACGGCCTTAACTCCTCCTGACACCTTCTGACCCATGCTCATGCCCCGGACCCTGCGTCGGGCCGTTTTGCACGGCACCACGGCCGCCTTGTACGCCCGTCTCACCTCGCACAGCCTACCGCCGCCGCCGCCCGCGCCTAGGCCGTTGCTGCCGCCGCTGCTGGCCACTACTCCACCGCCCCCGTTGTTTCTTACTGAGCTGCCGCGGGTGCCGCTTTTGTATCTGTAATAAGAAGAAATGTTTTTAGTTATTTTAGTTAGGAAACAAAGATTGTAAAAGGAAAACTCGATGGTAGTCGGGTTTAATTTTTTTTATGTAGAGTCAGGGGTGCCGATAATGAATCAAGAGTATTCCCCAAAAAATTCTTTCCGCGTCCTCTAATTTCATCCCCCGAAAGGGGAGTTTTTTTGCTTTTTGGCTGCAACTCGCTAACCGTGCATTTTTTCAGAATTTGACCTCCAATACTTTTGATTATGTACTAAATAAGGCACACGTTAAACCCCATTGCGCACCTACAGGGTGTCCCAAAAGTCAACGATATCCTTTGGAAGACTGATAGACCAACTCATGACTAAGCAGAAAATCAAAATATGACCTTAGTAAAAAATCGTTAGTTTTTGAGATATAATCGTTTTTATGAATTTTGTAAAACTTGACACCTTAGATAAGTTTTTCGAGTGCCAAAGCTACAAAATCTACTATTAATTTAATTTTGAATTGTAATTAATAGCAGTCCTATTCAGGGTTAAGCAAAATAAAATATAATCCAAGAATATAGAATGTTGTAGTTGTGACACTCGAAAAACTGATTTTGTGTCAAGTTTCACAAAATTCATAAAAATGCCAATATCTTAAAAACTAATGATTTTTTACAAAGGTCATGTTTTGATATTCTGATTAGTCATGAGCTGATCTATTAGTCCTTCAAAGGATATAGTTGACTTTTGGGACACCCTGTATATGATGTGCCCTTTTGCTATGCGCAGTGTGCAAAGTTGAGCGTTGCTTTCAAAATCACTTTTTTGTTTTTTAATCGATCCCAAACCTTACGGTAATCAAACATAACCGAATGGAAGATTTTTTGAGGTACTATAATAAGTCTATAGACTTTTTTCAAAAGTTACTGCTTTTCAATAAACTATCTTTTTTGTGAGGCACTTGCAATGAAAATAATTTTAAAAAAATTACGGACTCGTTACGAGGATAAAGGTACCTAAAAATCTAGGGTAGAACGAACTGGCTCATTAAAGCCGTTTGGGAAATTAGTTTCAATGTGGTAAAGTTCCATTCGGGTAAATGTTATCAGTTCGGTATTTTTTCCATGTTATTCTATGAATGGAAATTATGTAATCCCACACCATATTATTCATACGCATACCCAATAATAACACAATTAAATAATATTGTCGACCGCAAAAATTTTGTTATAACTCATTTTTATCATAAAAAAAAATCACCACAACAAATGACTTTATTTAAGTACCTACGAACAAACAGTTTTCGAAAGAATTTGATAACGAGACCGCATTTTTTTTTATTTAAAATTTCCTTTGTTTTTTTGTAATATATTATTCGTAGTATGTTGTTGGTAAATAACCATATTTATTGATAAGTTATCGTATTGGCGTTTGAATCACCAGTTTGAGTAAAAATAAAAGCATGCATGTTTCAAAGTTTAATAAATTTACATTTGATATTCAGAATATTTTACAAATTTATATTTTAAAAATTGTTAAAAAGAAAGGATGTGTCGGGATTAAGGTTTCCGGAAAAATTGAGCCGGAGGAAAAAACCGTTTTTCTCCGAAAAATTGGTAAAGGGTAATACTAAAAAATGCAAAAGTCAATTTTTCTGAAAATTTCCAAATTTTTACGGATACTATCCGGATACTGATATCGAGAAAAAAGTGAATTTTCGACGATGAATATAATCATAATATTATGATTACAATAATTATTCCTTTTAAATCGGTAAGAATATTCTACCGGGTCGCAAAAAACCATATTCGTTGCTGTAGTAACATAACTATTGTTTTATTTGACACTTCGATTTAAAAAATTATAATTTTGTAATTTAACTTTACAAATCATTAATTATTTTGTAATTAGATATCTTCAATTGACTTCTTTTTGCAAAAAAAACCCAATCGGCAGTATACTTTTAACGTTTACGTTTATTTTCTTAAATCAATTTAATTTCAATGTTTAGTTTTATTTTTTTATGTAAGGATATTTTTTTAAATTAAAATAATGATAAGTTGTTGATTGTTACTTTTTTCAAATGAATATAAAAAATCTATTTTCCCAAAAAAGCCAAGTTTTTCAAAGCCTGGGGAAAAAACGAAAAAACAGTTTTTCCCCATTTTTCTGGTTTCTTTCCTACACTTTAAAACCCTACTCTACAAGATACAAATTCGTTTTCGATAGTTTAATGATGTAATTTCGTTCGTTACCACCCCGCAAAGAATTAAAAACAGCTGATTCCGGTTAAACATATGTCGTTTTTGAACGAGACCAGCCAACTGGGACGCGTTCATTTTTATGTTTTAGTATGAGGGGGCCATGACCGATGTAGTAACACGTGCCACTTAAAAATGCACCATCTTTACTGTAATCTTAACTGAGTTTATATAAAAAAGTTATTTTGAATTGCTAGACAAAAATAATTAAAAAAAAAATAAAGGAAACAAGGAAATATTCATAAACAATGATAAGAGCTCGAAAACAACTAGGTATTATTTTAATCTTATCGCAACACCTTTAAGGTTGTTGCCCAAATACGTTATAAATTTTGTTAACACCTTTAAGGTTGTTAACAAATGTATAACGTATTTGGACACCTTGAAAACAAGCACGAAATTATGTTCTTCCTTAAAAAAATTAAAATAATGAAAGGAAACTCAAAACAATGAATATTTAAGTTCTATTTCCCGTCGTTATAACCGTTCCGTGGAATTAACTGTTAAAAATATATTTGATAAGTTTGTCACGTACCTATTTTTAAATTTATACACTGGGTATACATATGTGAATAATTATCAGTAATAATTCCGCGAAGAAGTTAATACTAAAGTTATACTAAAAAACAATTAAATTTGTAAGACAGTACAGAAAAAAGCGATATTCTTTAAATTCATTTTAACTTAGTACTTTCGTACCTGCATTTTTTAATATTCAACACTTTTCTAATCCCCACACAAGATTTATAAACAGGCATGTCACTGAAACGCAAAGTGCGAAAAACTAATGTACACTATAGTCAAATTGGTATTCGAAGGAAGCGATTTTTAGAATGTACATATTTGAAGGTCGAGCCAGCCGAAAAGTCAATAACACCATTATGATGGGACCACGGTTTAAATAAAAAAATTAAGTAAAAGTACAAAAGCTATTTCATATTGACCAAATAATAATACAAATAAAAGACTTTTTGTCTTCAAAGAAGGTTGTTGGTGCACGAAAAAATACAAAAGAAAAAATCACTTTAAATGCAGTGTTGCAATGTTTTAACCTTGGTATGTATTATATGTCGTTAAAAAGAGATTGTTAATGTATTCTTTGTTTATAATTAAAAAATCATAAAGATTGGGCATTCGTAAAAAAATGCTAACTTATATTGTCAGAGGTTATTAACTTTAAGATTTCATTTAAAATTCTTCCTGGTTTACTTAGTTTAGAACAGGTGTAATTGCTTAGCTTGAAGGTCAAAACTATTTTTTATAGCTAAAAACATAATATATTAAAATGAATAGCAAAAGCTAAACCCACTTGTTTATAACGCTAGAAATCACAAAACACGCGGTTTTAGCAGAAAATCGACACCAATAATAAAAATATTAGCACGCAAACTTCCAGGAACCCATAAAGCGATTGTAATATTAGTATGAATCATTTCGTAATACTAGAATTAACTGTATGTTTTGACACATGCATTCTGTTTTGCTGAGACTAGTCTTTTATATAAAATAAATACAGGAATAAACAGTTTTCTATGACGATATTTCTACAGAAGTGTAAAAAAATCTCACCTAGAGCTTGGAATTTTACAAAAATGTAATACCAAGAAAATTTAATGGTTTCATTATTTATGACTTGATTCGTACAAACCTTTCACTATGTGATGGATTCAATATTTCAATTAATTTTTCCTCCATCAAGCCCATGAAAAATCTTAAACTAACTAAATTTCTTTGTGTAACGAAACATGGATATTTATTTATATTAGTATCCAAAAAAACAGACAAAGAATTCCTATAGTTTTCGGTAAAGTATTTTTAAAAATATATTCTACCTGTTCCTATATTAAATTTAGGAGAAGGCTACCTTGGGCAGGTATACAAATGACGTAGGTTTGGGTACCTAACAAAGTAAATAGAAAAAAGTTGCGCACAGTGAGGTATTTTTAAAATCTAAAAAACAAAAATGAGCTTTTTATCTAGGTATTAAAAATGATCTTTTACATTACACATTAAGTTCTAAATTATAAATAGTCGGATAGTTGATACAAAAATAAAATGAATGTTTTACGCATGGTTACTTTTTACCACGGTGCGTTGTTATACCAACATTTATTCTGGGTACCCGACCGATTAGATCACGGCCGACTCAAGGTCAAGATCACGGTCTGTCTCTGGCCCATTGTTGTAAAACACACAGGCCATGGTGCCGATGCTAACAAAAACTATGCATAGTTAAGGAAATATAAAGGTTGATACCACTGCCTACCATCAAACTAAATGTTAAAGACAAAATTTTTAACGATGGGTTGGTTACAAGAAGTTATTTTTGTCTTAATTTTTACTACTATACTACTATTATAGTAGTATAATAGGTAATATTTAAAACAAAGAAAGATAATACTTAATCCGTTCCCAACCAGAATTTTCATGAAACATTTAGTATACCTGTGTCTTTAATTTCTACCTTTTTCCCACAACCTACACTGAAAAAAATTATTACATTTAAATGTAAAGTTACAGGATTATTACCATATAGATTCCTAATTTTTACGACAAATTGTAAAATTACCTTTATTTTCGTCTAATTTTTATGTATTTCAAGTAAATAAACATTTTTGTTTGTAAAATTACTAATGTTATGTATTAATTATTGATACCTACAAGAAGTAAATTTAACGAACTAAATGTAAAAAATACAATTATAACGTCTTACTGCATTATTTCAAATGTAAATATACTTTATTAGTCTTAATATTACAGGTTT